TTAATTGATATAAAAAAATATCCTTTTAATTTTTTTTTTGAATAGTAGGAATTATGGAAGATGAAGTGTTTTTTTCAAAACGTTTATGAGAATTGAAGTATCGATCAACTAAATTCAAATATTTAAAGTTTGAAGACGAGATTGTATTTGCATTCCTCATTTGTTGAAAATATCAGGCATGCTTCTACTTAATTATAATCAAACAGGTTATAATGACTATAATCAAAAAGAAATATCCTACTTATAATCAAATTCTATTTTTTAAAATATTAATTAATATAAAAAAATACAATAATCACATCATTAACACTATACTAAATGAAAAAAATCCTTATTATATGCTATATTCCTACATACAGTCAAAGAAAACCTCGATAAGTTAAATAAACAAATTAATAGTTCATATGTATTTGTCATTCATTCATTGAATGGTTTCAACTTTCAAGGTCACTATTTATCATTGATGGCATAAATATTAATTAATTACTACTACTTGTCCGAGGAAACTGTGCTAATTGGATTGGAGCAGCACACAACGTCATAAACTAATTAGACTTTTTGAATATTTATTTCTTAATTACTGTACTTATTTTGTTTTGTTCCTTTTGGACTAATCTATCTCAAGCCTAGCTACCCCTTTATATATTCTGATCAAGTATGAATTAAGTTTAACCCCATTAATTACTTTTTGGATTATGTTTATAGCTAGCTAGTTCCTGCATTGTGCAGGTACTTTAATATGTACTGGACGTGGCTTTCTTCTGTTTGTGGCTTAATTCTTAAGCAATTCAGGATCATATTTTAAAGATCACTCTTTGTTATATCTGCATGATTTGGTAAGAGTGTTATTTGCCAGCCCTGCAGCCTTACCTTATATAATGACTTGCGGTTGTTGGACGTATCGTACATGGATAGAGACTTCAAATTAGTTGGTTAATTAATTTTTGGTTTTGTTGACTAATAAAATACTTGATAGTCGGATTTTTAAAAAATTTATAATATCTGAGGTTTGAAAAGAGGAGAATGAAAGATTTTTTTATTAATTAAATTATAATATTTAAATTTGTTGTAATTTAATTGATTAAAAAAATTTTTTGATCCTTTTTTCTATTCTTTTTAACTAAAATATATTATTAAAAAAATTAAAATTTATATAAAGTATAACCCAAAAAGACAAAAATAATTACATTCATATATATATATATTATCTTAATTGCATAATGAGAGACAATCATCTCTAATTTCTTATTTTACCCCATCTGCATATCATGCGACTCTATTTTATATTGTTTCAGGTGCTACATGCAAAAAGAGGAAATTTTGTGAAGAAATTTGAAAAAGAACTCAAGAAAGGGATGTATGCGAAGAAACTAAAAATTGGGGGGTGAAATCCACCAAGAAAAACTAACAAATCCAACCCAAACCCAAATATTGAGCCCACTGGCCATTTAATTCAAGACTTAACCCATTTTCACAAACCAGCCCATTAAAACCCAAGTCCAACAATAAAAAAACCCTAGTTTCCCTTCTCTTTAAAAGGCGGGGAGCCGCGCAAATAAAAACGGGGGGCGACCGACAAAACAAAGATAGAAAAGATTTCTCTCTCTCTATTCTTCTCCCCGAAAGCTCCCAACATACAGCCACCATCTCCATTCTCCGATTGCCACCACCATCATCATCATCGTCCCCATCTTGTTTCCTTCCTCTTGGCACCCTCAGCGGCGACTTCTTCATCTATCTCGTTCCACCGCCGGAAATCCACCGCCGGAAATCCATCTCCGGATTTGTTTGCCTCCGTCCCATAGCAGCTGCAGGTCACCATTTTCGTCTCACAGCAGCCAAACGAGCTCCTGGGATCTTCCTCTTCTCCTCTGAATCGTCAGCCTCGTCTCCTGTGGGTATTCTCTAAAACAGAGGAACTTTGGGGCAGGGATGAGGGGAATGATCTGGGCATATCCCATGGGAAGGTATACAGATCAGACTCCGAAATCGACCACCCAAAGTTCTGCCGTTCAATTTTCCTGGAAAATATGTTCAATTTTTTTTTTTTTTGGTTGGCTGCATTTCTTGTAAATGATGATCTTAATTTAAGAATGTTGGAGTTGCTTACCTCATTATCGGTTGTTTGTTCGCTACATATGAAATTTGCTTGATATCCCGTTTGATTTGTTTTGGCTGTTGGGAGCTTGATCGAAAAAAAAAGAAACCTAAAATCTCCAATTTTTGTTTGGTTTGATCCGTTCGGAGCCGAATTGATTTCTGGATTATGTTTGTGGGTCTGGTAGACCCCGGTAAGTCTATGAACCAAAAAGAAAAACTAAAAACAAAAAAAACTAAAAAAGGTAAAAACTAAAAAAAAGTGAAAAAAATATAAATAAAATGATTATGATGATGATCATCAATTAATTTAAATTGTTTGTTTTCCTTAATCATCAACATTAAAAAAGTCAAAATTATCTTTTATTAAATTCTTTTTTTCACACAAAACTTTTAAGATCAAGCAATTCGACTCACCAATTTTATGTCTTTTCAAATCAGTACCTCTACTTTTAAATTTTCGTTTCAATTGCGCATGCATGTTTCTTATTTTTGTTTAAATTGAGTCAAAGGGTTTTCAAGCTTTGCAATTTCATCCATTTGCCTTTTAAAATCTACTTAATCAAACCTAAAAAAAAAAAAAAAAATTCAAAGTTGAATAAATCTCCAAATGTTAAAGTATGCAATTGTTACATGGAGAATTGTGAGTTGCATGTATACCTTTTTTCACTCCTAATCGTATCCCTGAATTTTGATCTTTGCACAGAACATGACTATGTTTAAGTGACTTGTCTCACCTTATAATTTAGACAAGTGACGACTTCTTATATATATATATATATTTCATAGTTAATTTTGAAAAAAATCTTAAGTGGTGTCAACAATCCTCCATAATTTTTACTCTTAGTCAACATCTTCATAATTTGAAACTCACAAAAAAGCCCCAAATTATCAATAAAATTAGGGTGCAAATAGAGGATTTGACCATTAATTTTTGGGTTTTATATAAGTTTTAAATTATGAAAAGGACTGATCAAAAGCAAAATTCCTAAGGGTGTTAATTGCAAAAAAAAAATAATATGAAGGATTCAAATAAGGGATTTAATTGTTAATTTTTTTATGCAAATAGGGGGTTTAATTGTTAATTTTTGATTTTTTTTGAGTTTTAAATTATGGAAAGTGTTGATTGAATGTAAAAATTTTTGAGAGTATTGACTGTAAAAAAAATATATAAGGTGCAAATAGGGAGCTTGGCTTTTCTATCTTAATTATTTCGTTTCTTCAAGAAAAAAGAAAGAAAAATGGAAATCAAGAGAGATGTTGGAACATGCAAGTTTGAAATATAATAGATCGCGCGAGAAAGAAGATATATAAATTCTGCTACATATATATATATATATATATATATATATAATCAAGCTAGATCGAATCAACATATCTCATGCAACGTACTTAATTATAAGAACAAGCTAGAGAACTAACAATCATAAAATGCTACTTAATTACTACTTTGATATATTAGAACAAAGCTGAGGGAACTAACATACATCATCATCATCCTCCACTTTACACTGGGTAAGATGAGGAAAAAAAAAAAAAAGTTGAAACCCCATAAACATATGGAAACGAACACCAAACAAGAGATTCAAGAATCCCATTAGCCCTAAGCACTTTCATTCTCATCAAATCCCATTAACTCGTTCCATTTCCTTTCAGAAACAGAAAAAGAAAGAAGTTAAGAGAAAAGAGAAACGTCCTGCTTCACAGGCGGGGGGTTAGATCAATATCGGCAGAAGAATCACCCACATCCGTGGTAGGGGAGAGAGCGTCGGGAGTAGTCGAAACGCCCAGAAAACTCTGATGAGGGACCGAGCTGGAAGGAAGGTGCTGCTGCGGCTGGATGGGTTCCGGCCACACGTTAACAAACCTGGCTGCATCCGCGGTATGGTCCATGCCCGGAGAGTGGGGAAATGGTATCGATGAGGTGTGTTGTTGATGTTGATCAGCAGGGAACAGAGGAAGTGGATGGTATCGCTGCTGGTGGGTGGCCGGAGGGTCTGCTCGCTTGCGTTTGTGAGCTTTCTGGTGCCCGCCGAGCGCTTGAGGGGAGTCAAAGAGCCTGGAGCAGTGGGGACAAGGAAATAGCGGAGATGAGATTATGGGCGGCTGGATGTGTTCCGGCCACACGTTAAAAAACACAGCTGCTTGGTATTGCTGCTGATGAGTGGCCGGCAAGTTTCGCTGAGCTGCTCGCTCGTGTTTGTGAGCGTTCTGATGCCCGCCGAGCGCTTGAGGGGAGTCAAACAGCCGGGGGCAGTGGGGACAAGGAGATCGCGGAGATGAGGTGATGGATGGAGCTGCTGCATGCCTGGTGGGTTTTGCACCAGAAGGCAGGTTGTTCCTTGAGCGGTCTGCCATGTTGAAAGTTGCTGACAGGGGAGGAGGAGGAGACTGGGTTATTTATAGGTGCACTGAAATTTGAATTTTCGTTTCATTTCATTTGCATTTGCATTTTGGGTTTTTGAATGCCGTCCGTCCGATTCGCCGAGTGAATCGCGTCCGTCGGATTTCAAAGTTTGGCGGCGACCCCATTTTCAATATGGTTGTTCCCTCAGGAGTCAATTAGCAATTAAAAGAAAATACAACCATGTCAATTAGCATGCTAATTGACATGGTTGTTCCTTCAGGAGTCAATTAGCAATTAAAAGAAAATACAACCATGTTGAAAATGACATGCTAATTCTTTCTTCTAA